ATTAAAGATAAGAGTATGGTGAAGAAATATTAACATTTATTGGTTAAATACAAGAGGAGGAAGAAGAATGAACAAAGAAAGCCAGTAAGTAGCAAGAGAGATAGAGAGAAACGTGGAATATATGATAAAAGAGAAGCCAAAGGAAGAAACTGTTTCAAGAGTCAGGAACTGTTGAATGCTACTGAGGACCAATCAGGTGAGAGGTAAAACTGTCCACAGAATTTACAGACATGTAATGAGGGAGGTGAGGAAACCGCAGCAACTCGAATGATGTTGGCTCTGTAAAGGATGTACAAACAAGAAGCATTAGGCTATGCGGGTGGTGTGTGGCATAGAAGGGATTTGCATGCTGCCTGACTTCGTTTTAGGGTGGGAAGACCTTGCCAAAGAAAAAGAGAAGCTCAAGATGTATGAGACTTAGAACACTTTAACTCCTTTTAGTCCTACAAATAAATTATAGTTACAAGTTCAAATCACAAATAAAAGTCATGGCCTGTCAAAAAGATCACAAGATCGAAGTTATTTTCTATAGCTAAGAAAGGACAAAATATTGATTAATCTTTGGAGGAAGGAAGGAATACTGAATGACATTATCTATCTGACCTCATCAAAGGTAAATATGAAAACTGAGGCAGCAGACACGAGCGCCACCTGCTGGTAAAAAACAAATTCTCGGTATTTTGATGTGATAGAAACCAGTCTTAATAGGAATTTCAACTCATTGAACTAGAGTTAACCCATCTCCAATGATAGTTTTTTGATACTAATACAGAATCTCAGAACTTCCATCCCAACAAATAAGTGTTTTGTCAGTTGTTTATCCTCTCTTTATTCCAATACAGTCAATAGTAAGCAGCACATAAGTCCAAGAACTATTACATCATCGCTAGGTCACTTTAAACTGAAATTCGTCTCCTAATTTCCACCCACTAATACAAGCCCTCCTTCTTGCTGTAAAACAGTACTAGATCATCATATTGCAGCCCTTGTCTCCACTTACTGTCTCCCCAGATTAAACAACCCGTATACATTTTTTTAACTGTTTTAAAATCCCCCATCATCCCTGTTGTGGAGTGCAGCTTAGTCAATAGTCCATAAATTATCTTAGAGGTTTCATTTCCAACAGGTAGCCCAGCAGGACTACTACTTACCTTTACCTGAGCTTATAATACAATACTGGCTCAGACTAAGCTTGTGGTCAACTGCAATCCTGTCCAGTGAGATAGTCCCAATCCAGTACGGTGAATCTAATGCAAGTCTTACTCTGTCAAGATCATTTGAACCTTCATTCTTGGTGCCATCTAAACTTGACATACCACTCACTAAATCTTCATCCAAATCAATGATAAAAACTTGGATATGAAAGATCTTAATATGATGTAATTAATACTAAGCCGCCAAAGAATATTCTTTAGGTAGCAGGGATGCTTACCTAGCTGAAAATCTATTTACTATTTAGTAATTACTAATCTATTTCAGCTATAAGGATGATAATGAAAAATGTAGAGAAATGCTTTAAATGAAATCAGGATGTCACATAATAGGCAATTTATGAATTCACTGTCCTTGTATACCTTTCAAAAAGACAATTTATGAGTTTAACATGGTCATTTTTAGGTGAACTCAGAGAAAATGTTCACAAACCACATTGGGGTTACCAGTGGATAGTTGTCTAAGTCCACTCTTCTTAAAAAAACACACTTTAAGAGTAAATCCATTTAATTATTGTATAATTAAATATTTGATTAAATATTTCAAATGGCAAATTTGTGGCCAACAATGCATGTGTTTCATTCTTTCTAATGGGCTGAAGATCAGCTTTTCTAGAAGAAACTTGTCTTCCAGAATGAAATAAGTTGTCTTCTCTGCTTAGGCATCCATGCATAATTGAACATGCCTTATTTAAAAGTTGATCCAAAGTTACTTACAAACTATTAACAATGACTCAGATTATTCAAACAGTATCCTAGGTTAAAATCCCACTATGTCTTGAGATTTGAACAATCATAATGCAACTATATGTCATATGTGCTGGGCTTCAGTTTTTTTCTTTAATACATTGACCTGAACTTTTCCACTTTAAAGACCATTCTCTGTTCACAAAAATGGAAGCAAAGAAAGAAGTGTTGCCCTATAGCAGCATGTAGCAATCCAGATGTGGACCCTGAAACCCAACTGCCTGGCTTCGAATCCCAGCTCTCTCATTTACTGGCCATGTGACCCAGAGCAGGTTATTTAACCTCTCTATGCTTCAGCTTCATTTATAAATATGAATAGCAATAGTACCTACCCTGTAGAGTTATGATAAGAATTAAATGAGTTAATATTTGTAAAGATCTTATAACAGTGCCAGCCCCACAGAAAGTTAAACAGTTTAGCTGCTTGCTGTAATTACCATTCTTGATCACCTCTTAATATCACCCTTTTTCACCCACCATCCCTTTCCTTGCACTTGCTCTCAAAATAAGAGTATAGTACAATAGTCAAGAGCTGGGCTTTGAAGTCTCAAAGACCTGGACTGGAGTCCTGGAACCACTGCTTACCAGAAATAATACCTTGAAAAATCACTTAAAATCTCCCAGCCTAAATTTCCTCATCTATAAAATGGGGGTAAAAACAGCACCTACTTCATGGGGTTGTAAGAGTAAATAAAAATGAATGTCATACCCTTCACATAGTACTTGGCATGTAGTATACCCTCAGGAATCTTTGTCAAAATCCCTTTTTTGTACCCCTTAGCATTTTGGTAGGCACAATTTGGACCATAGCACTCTCCTTATGTCTTATGGGCTCATGATGCCTTTGGCTACATGTTTGTTTATCTACCTCTGTCCATCGTTTGCAGCAGTTCTCTTCTGTACTTTGTAAACAGACACATCTCTCAACATTCCTTCCCATTTTCTTTCTCTTCTAATCATTGTGGTTTTTATGTCAAAATTTGAGAATTTCCTGTTCTTTGCAAACACATTAAATTTTTGAAGCCTATAGCCATGAGATTATGCCCATATTGTTTTTCTGAAATACATGCTTTCTAAAATACAGGATTCATGCTGAGTTTGTTTTTCAACATTATAATCTTTAAAATAAAGTGATAATTTTTCTCTCAAGAGCCTATCCCTTCTATTTCCCCAATCATTGGTAAAAAGTAAATCTAGGATAATAATTCCCACAATTATTTTCTTCACCTATTATGAGACTAAATCATTAATAAATCAAACATGTTATCAGATACTCTTTAAGCAGAATGTAACTTCCAACAGATATAAAGAAGGTGAAAGAACACAGTGGTACTACAGTTTGTTTATTTGTAATTTTATAATCTATATAAGAAACCATCATCTATAATCCCTGTCGTGCTCAAATTCTTCTGTATATCTCCATTAGAACATCACTTTTGTTCCTTTCCCCTCTTACAGATTATGTTCTTCCTCAGAGTGGTGGCTCCTGTCTCTCTCTCCTCTCTCTCTCTCTCTCTCTCTCTCTCTCTCTCTCTCTCTCTCATTCACACACACACACACACACACACACACACACACACACACACACACACACACACACACCCCACACCCTCATCAGCTTCTCCTGGCATTTCCTATGACATGTTTCTTTTGAACAAAGTGTTCTGTCAATGGCCACAAATCTTTCATGAATATCATCTTTCCACCTCTTGGAAACAGATATTCCATAATTAAAATACTATTTTCTTTTCTACATATACTACATTGGTATGCACATTCTTTAATATACAAGGCATGGTTTCCAAACAGTTTTGGTCCCAAATGATTTCTTTCTGCCATATGTTTTCCTCCTAAGTTACCTATTTTTATAATTCTAACTGGACTTCTCTTCTTTACTGATAAATTTAATGAGCCTCCAGCCAAACAGTAATAGAAGTTATTCCATCAGAAGCCCACTACTGTAACACAAAGAATACAGTTCAGGGGACTAAATCCTCCTCTGAAACTTCCAACTGTTAACTGCCGAATCTATCCTTGTCTTCTGAAGTTACAGGCATCAAAAGGAGCTATGACAGAAGCTGTGCCTGCGCTTCAGAGCCCCTAGATGTCTTCTAAATATTTCTATTAATGAATACAAGAAAAAATTACATTAACTATACTACAAACCTTAAGGGAGCAAGGAACATGCATATTTTATTCCTACTGTCCAGTGCCTGGTACATACTAGACTGGGGGTTGCATACTTTGGCCCACAAGTCAAAAAATTTCTGAATGGCTTACAGCTAAGAATGCTTTTTATATTTTATAAGGGTTGTTCAAAACAAAACAAAACAGAAGACTATGTGGCAGAGACCATATGTGCCCTGCAAAGTCTAAATTTCCCATCTGGCCCTTTTTAGAAAACATTTGGTGACCGCTGTATTAGACCTTCAAATAGTTGTTAAAACAAGGATGTTTGGGGAAGGGACAAAGCTCTAGGAATGGGGAAAGAGAAACAGAGATTTGGAACAGATGTAAGTGGAGACCACTACAAAAGGTAAAACTCTCTTAATAAAAACCATATAGTTCTTTAAATCATTCCCTGACTTGAGAAGCTAAAGAGCTTCATTAGCATGTTTTAGAGATGATAATTTTTTGGTAACTAAGCTGTTCTTGAGTCACAGGTGCTCCCAGGAGAACTAAATTTAAACCTTGGTAGTTCACTTCTCCAACTAGCCTAGTTAACATTAATATTAGTCATCAGCAAGGTGTGAGCCACTGTAGAGTGTCAATTTGCAGGAATGTACCCTTATACAACAATATCCTTTCCTTCCATACAGCACAAAGTAGTTATGCGCCAATGTTCACATCTTACTCATCTGTTCCCATGTATCTGTTACTTCAAAATTTATTCATTGAGAGTGCTTCAGGAGCCCTGAAATAAACCTTTGAATACTGAAAATATTTAACCAAAACTTCAAAGTTGCATTCTCAAGTAATATAAAAGAGCAGTACTAGATGTATTCATAGCAATGCCTATTAGAAGCACATGCAAAGATGTACCTGAAAATGCTGTTCCATGACCTGGATTTTTCCCTGGTCTGGGCACTTTTTCAGAGCTCGATCTGCATAATGGAATAGGATCTCTACCATCTGTAAGGAAAATAGCCTTTATAGAAATTAAAATATATTGCTAAAGTTTTCAATACTTAATATATTCGATCCTTCTAAAAAATACAGAATTAGGCTTCATTATTACATTAAAATATAATTAAAATTTTTAGTGGCTTCAACCCCCCTTTTTAAAAGCCCAGACTAATTTCTTTCAGCCTCAGAGCTAGTACTAATTTGTTAATCTTTCCTAATAAACATCTCCAGGCTCTAGACCTCAATAGTTTCTTCAGTTGCCATAGAAATGAAAAATTGAAGTTAAGCTCTTCAGTAACCCTCTGCTGTAGGTCTTTCACTCAAGGTCCCTTTCTCAGTATTTTAGCAGATACTAAGAAAATCATCCATGAGACTAAGGAGTGAGCAATTTCTATTCATGTTTTCTAAATGTTAATGCTAATTTGGAACATAATTTTTACGAATGCATTTGAAAAATAAAAAGGGAGACATATGACTACCAAATTCAGTAAGTGAATTTTACCAAATCTACACTAGGAAAACAGAGCCAATTGGCATTAAATATTGGCATTAATTGTATTGTTAAAAAATAATAACAATAATGATAAAACATCAGCCTTCTCTGCTGAGACTACATTTACACTTGCACATAGAGTATTTCTCATAATTACTAATCAGTTTATAAAAATTAATAAATGTCAAGTTTCTACATGCTATAATTAGGTTCAGAAATAATCCAGATCTCTGAGTTTCCTCCTCCTTTCTGCTGTCTTTTGACTATTTCACAACTTTATCATCTTTCTAAGAGAGTGAACAAGGAAGAAAAAAAGGTGATAAAAAGGAATTTAAAAAGCACTCAAGGTGACACTGAGGAATTATAATTCAACTTACTTTTCCCAAAGATTATTAGCAGATACCAAAATCAAATCTGAACTGTACCCTAGTAAAAACCTTATTAAAATACTCACCCGATCTGCAACAACAGCCTTTCGCTTACTGGCATCCCCTGATAATCCTGCAGAGAAGCAAAATCCAGCATAAAAACAAGATTAGTCCATGTCTTCATGACTAAAATTGTTTTGGTATTCTACTTATAACCTATGCTAATAGATATAAATATAAAAATCCTTAAGTGTCAAAATGTTGGATAATAGGCCATATTAGGAACACGTCACATCTATTGGACCAGATAGTGTATCAATGTACTTCCCTTTTATTGTAGTAGTAAATTTTCCTTATGAAATGAAAGAACTTAGAAAGTGACATTTAAAATTCTATATCCTATAATTGTCCATAATATTTTTCACTGGAAGTCTGTAGGTTTAATAACATCTTGTTTATAAAATACTTGAACACTAAGCTAAAAAATGTTCTATTAGTGATTAATATTATTCATTCACTCTACTTCAGATAAACACCTACTATACCAGTATTCTGCTAACTTACCCACCACTGCTTTTGCCTTTCCTTCATGGAAAGACCACGCAAGAGCCAAGGCTTCTGTAAGACAATCTTGTTTCAGGAGATGATCCACTCTCTAAAATGAATAAATGAGAGAAACTAGATCCCTCTATCTGCCCTATCACCAATCAGAATTCCTATACTACCCAATATCTTCCCAGAAGTTGCTGCTTAGTAAGTAAAATTATTCCAATAACCATGTGAATACCTTATTTCCAAGAAAAATAAGGCGCACGGTAGTACAGGAACTGTATAAGCTACTACAGGCAGCCACAAAGCCTAACTATGAAAAGAGGAAACAGCTGGCATGTCACTAAAGCTGAGACAGCTAGTTGTTTATCACAACATCCATTCATTCCCTTCACCTTTGTAACAAATCCCATTTATTTGATACAGCAATACACCAGCTAAAGGACCTTTCTAAGACTCCTCTGTAGCCACTTGGGGGCAGGTGACTAAGTTCTGGGCAATGATAACTAAGTGGAAGTGGTTAGTACTTCTGGGATGTCACCTTAGAAGGCAAGGGCCAGCCCTTCTGTTCTCTTTATCTCCTTCCTGGAATATGGACTTAACACAGCTTGAGTTCCAGCAGCCCTTCTGGGACATAAAATGACCTTGAGACTAGAATATGCACCCAGGATGGTGGAACACGAAAGGACAGGATACTAAAGACCACGGAGCTGCCACATCAGCTACACACTGCCCACCTCTACCTTGCTTTTACATGAGAGAGAAATCTTGTCTCAGCCACTATTACTTTCAATTTTCTGATATTTGTAGCCAAACTTGATCCTAATTTACAGTCAGTTTTATCAAATTTCAGTTTACCCCCATGAAATGAAAAAGCACAAGGCTAAATAATCTTTTTCTGAAAGTCAAAACAGAAACATGAAAATGCTACCAATTCAATAGCTCTAACATATTAAATCACTTTGAACTCACCTCTCTCCAGCTCCTCAACATCATCACATAAACAGACTAGAAAATAAAGACAAGGAAACTAAAATGGTAATGTTTAACAGGCTTGTTTGGGAGGTACATTTGTCCCACATCTCTTTAAGTACAAACATTTCATACTACAGTTAGAAGAATTTACTAAAGATTCTTCAAGAAGGGCCCATGTTAAAGAGGAAATCAAACAGACATTTAAAGGTCAATAAATCTACAGTCTTAAGAAGGAGTTAATTCCATGGACAAGGAACAAGGAACCCCCAATCTCCCTGTACTGACTTGGTAATATTTTGAATTTTAATGATGAAGAACTATTTCTACATGTTAAGTTTAAATTTTTAAAAAAAGCACAGAAAGAAACTGATATACAAAAAGTTCCTAGTCCAGCAATTCTAAATCAAATGCCTCAATGTATTTTAATGTATCCTAAGCTGATCTAAGCTAAAGGACATCTTAACTATGTGACAAATATACATAAGGTATCTTCCTGGTCATGAAAACATATATGTGAAGGAAAACTATGAAAGTATATGCCTGAATTAAGAAAATAAGCATCCTATGAAAATGTAAGTCAAAGCAGAAACATGTCTAAAAGTGAAGAAAATTAGCCAATGCAGCTAAGCCCTAAAAGTTTTAGATTACTGCTGATCAATATTCATTTTGTAAAATGCACTGCCCCCTTCACCAGCAGCTTCCTTCAGCCTCAACTATCCTGACACAAAGAAATACCAAGCCACAGAGAGGAAGAGCTTACTTTCGTCCCCAAATAAAAGATCTGACCACCATAGCTACTGATGGATTGATAACAAGCCTTTTCTCCAACCAAAGCCTGTAAAAAAAAAAAAAAAAAAAGGTAAAAATTACGTGCATTAGAAGTCTCATTAGGTTTTAAAGAACATCAGTTATGTAGACAACATTTTAGGTCAGCATGGTTTCAGCCCATAATGAGTGGAGGAAAAAATGTCAGTCAAGTGCCAGTCTGTCAGTCAAAGTAGCAGAAAAGACAAAGCATAAAAAGTAATTCTCTGCTTACATGTAGTCTGTTTTTCAGAATAATGGTGAAAAGAGATGAACATGCCAACTTCTTTAGGAAAACTGTTGCAATCTGCCCATTAATGGATGAAAAATATTCACTGTTTCCAGCAAAGAATAGGGCTGATTGAAAATAGTACCTCTAAGTTCTATGAAGTACATATCAACATAGAACTCCCTAGATAACAGGAAGACAAAGCAGCACAGCATACGGGATTTAGCACAGCCCAGCCAAACAAACAAAACCTACTGTCTGAGAAATTTGGACTGCAAACTTTGGCTCCGTCACTTACTGGGTATGACCTTAAACAAACTTTAGACATTTAGTCTTCCCATCTTTAAAAAACCATGCAGTTTCTGTGAAGCTTAAATTCATTAATACTTATAAATCTCCAAAAATGTGTAAGTAGTCAATAACTGATAACTATGATAATTTTAACTTTAAATTATGGAAATTTAAAAATATGCACAAAGGCAGTGAGAATAATATAATGAATCCCATGCATCCATTAACCAGCTCCATCAATTGTCAACTCATCACTAATCTTGTTTCATCTATGTTCCCACCAACTACCCTTAACATAGTATAATTCTGAAGCGAATCTCAGATTTTGAATATTTCCTTTTTTTCAGTATGTGCAAAATAAATGAGCCCTTTTTAGGGTAACCACAATTTCATTAATGTACTTTCAAAAATTAACATTCATTCCTCAATATCAAATATCCAATCAGTGTTTCGACTTCCAATTGTCTTATAAATGTCAAATATTCTTCAGATTTGTTGTTTCTTTTGCTTTTCCTATATTTCATTTGTCTTATACAAGATTCAAACAAGGGCCACATATTGAGCTGGCTGATAAGACTTCAAGTCTCTTTTAATCTATAGGCTTTGTCTCCATCTCTCTCAATCCTTTATTTTCCTTAAAGTGTATTTATTGAAGAAACTGGAACACTGATTCCACAGTTTCCTACAATCTGGATTTTGCTAATTGCATCTCCATGGAATCTTTAATATGTTCCTCTAGTTCCATATTTTCTCTTGAAGAAACTTGAAAAGAATCAGATATTTTTTTGTTTTGTTTTGATTTTGGTTTGCTTTTTGGCAGTACTACTTTAAGTATAATGTTAGCTGAAGGATTTTTGTAGATGCCCTTGATTATCAGGTTGAAGAAGCTTTCTATTCCTAGTTTGCCAAGGTGTTTTATCAGGAATGGATATTGAATTTTGTCAAATGCATTTTCTATAATTTTCTATGATGTTATAGTTTTCTTTAACAACCAACTTCTGTAGTGAATTATATTAATGTTTGAATGTTAAGCCAGCCTTGCATACCTTGAATAAACACCATTTGATAATGATTTATTATTCTTTTTATACATTGCTGGTTTCTGTTTGCTAATATTTTAAGGATTTTTGCTTCTATGCTTATGAGGACATTGTAGTGTTCTTTATTATAATATCTTTGTCTGGTTTTACTATCAGAATTAAGTTGGTCTCATAGAAAAAGTTACATGCTCCCTTTTCCTCTATTTTTTAAAAGATTTTGGGGTAGAATTGTTTTAGGTTTTTTTTCCCTTAAATATGACAGACTTCACTAATGAAGCCATCTGGGCCTGGAGTTTCTTTGCAGGAAATCAGTTTCTTTGCAGCTACTTAGATTTTCTGTTTCTTCAAGAGTCACTTTGGTAATTTGTGCCTTCTGAAGAATTTCTCCATTTCATCTAAAGTTGTTGAATTTATTGGTATAAAGTTACTCACATTATCTTTTTAGTATCTATAGACTCTATAGTGATATCAACTCATTCCTGACATTGGAAATTATGTCTTCTTTCTTGATTAGTCTCACTAGAGGATTATCTATTTTATTTCTCTTTTAAGCAACTTTTGCTTTCTTTGATATTCTCAATTGCTTGTCCATTTCCTATGTATGATTTATGTTCACCTTTATTATTTCTTCCTTTAGTCTATTTTAAGTTAATTTTGCTCTTTTCTATTTCCTTAATTGAGGTGGAAGCTTAGATAATTGATTTGAGATCTTTCTTCTTTTCTAATATAATTATGTAGTTATAAGTTACCCTCAAAAAACTGATTTAATTGTAGACTACAGATTTTGTTATATTTTCATTTAGCTTAAAAATATTCCAATTTCCTTTGGGATTACTTCTTTGACTCATGGGTTATTTATAAGTGTTTTAATTTCCAAATATTTGGGTTTTCTCCACATTTACCCTTCAATCACTTGTTTAAGTTTGTTTTGTGGCCTAGCATATAATTATGAATTAAATGCTATATTGGTGAATTCTCCATGTGCTCTTGAAAAACTTTATAACTTGTTTCATTGGGTGGAATATTCTATAAATGTCAGGTCAAGTTGGTCAGGAGTGCTTAAGTCTTCTATACTCTGAATGATTTTCTGCCTACTAATTCTATTAATTACTGAGAAAGGAATTTTGCATAATTGTGAATATTTATCCTTTTAGTTCTGTCAGCTTTTGCTTCATGTATTTGGAAGGTCTTTTATTGGGTGCTTAAACCTTTATGATAGCTGTCTTCTTGATGAATGAATCTTTTTATTAATTTGAAATTTTTCTTTATCTCTGAGAATATTTCTTACTCTGAAATATTAGTCAGATATTAATACAGCCATTCTAGTGATTAGTGGTTTGCATGGTGTGTCTTTTTCCATTCTCTTATTTTAACTTATTTATGCCTTTGTATTTAATGTGAGTTTTTTGTAGACAGCATGGAGTTGGTTCATGCTTTTTTTCATCCAGTCTCAATTGAAATATTTAGGCTTTTATTTAGACCTTTTAATTGAAATATTTAGACTATTTCTGTTCCTATAATTATTAATATGGTTGGGCTTAGGCTACTTATCAACTGTTTTCTACTATACTAACTGTTCCTATTAATGCTCCATTGAATACTTTTTTAACATCCCATTTTGTCACTACAATTGATTTATTAGTTACACCACTTTTTCAGTGACTGCTCTAGTGTTTATAATATGTGCAACTTATTCAGTCTCCATTTAAATAATATTACACTATTTGATGTATAATGTAAGAGCTTTATAATGATATACCTCCACCCCCCACTCCCTACTGCTATGTACTATTCAGCATACACACTACTTCTACACATCATAAATATTACATTATTGTTTTAAACATTCTATTGCCTTTGTTAAATAACACTAAAGGTCTAATTTACGTATCATAAAATTCACTCATTAAATGTACAATTCAGTAATTTCCAGTAAATTTATGGTTGTATAACCATCACCAAAATCCAGCTGTAGAACATTTCCATCACCCTACAAAGATCCCTTGTGCCCATTTTCCAGTCAACCCCCATCCCTACACTCAGTCCCAAGTAACCACTAATCTATATCCATCTCTATCAACTTGGTGCTTCTGGACATTTCATATAAATAGAAACAATTTGTGGTCTTTCCACAAGGCTTCTTTCACTTAACATAGTATTTTTGAGTTTCATTCATGTTGTAGCATGTGTTGGTAGTTCATCCTTTGTATTGCAGAATAATATTCTATTACATGGCTATGCCACATTTTGTTTATACATTTACCAGTTGGATTGGTAAACATATGGACTGTTTCCACTTTTTGGCCGTTATGAATAATGCTGCTATAAACATTTGTGTATAAGTATATGGACATATGTTTCCATTTCTCTTGGGCAGATACATAAGAATAGAATTGCTTGGTCATATAGAATCTCTATGTTTAATATTTTGAGGAGCTGCCAAAATGTTTTCCACATGAAATGTACCATTACCCACCAGCAATATATGAGCGTTCCAGTTTTTCCACATCCTCACCAACATTTATAATAGTTTGTCTCCTTATTATAGCCATCCAGGTGAACAAGAAGGTATCTCATTGTGGGTTTGATTGCATTTCCCTAATGATTAGTAATGTTAAGCATACAGTCACATACATACTGGCCATTTGTATATCTTCACTGAAGATGACTACAGATCATTTCTGATAAGAAATCTGCTCTCAGACTTATTGTTGCTCCTCCGGATTTAATGTGTCTTTTTTCTCTGGTTCTTTAAATTTTTACCTTTACAATTCATTTTGTTCTATCTATACATAGTTATCTTTATTTTGCTTGTGCCTGGATTCACTGAGCTTCTTGAATGTGTGTGTTCATAATTTTGGAATGTTTTTTACCATATTTCTTTCAAAATGCTTTTCTTTCCTCTCCCTCAGAGATTCCAACTATATGTATATAAGGCTACTGTACTGTCTCACAGGTCACTAATATTATTATTTTTTCATTATTTTTCCTGTGTACCATTTTGGATTTATTGCTATCAATCCACTTATTGCTCTGTCTTCAATCTTCAAACTCACTGTTTTTTCCTGCAATATCTACTTTCTCATTAATCCTATCCAGTGTATTTTCATCTCAAGCACTGTAATTTTTGTCTTTAGAAATTAGATTTGCATCTTTTTTTAGTACCTTCCATGTCTCTATTTAATTTTTTGTATTCCTAAAGAATTTTTTTCTTTCTCTCAAAGCCCTCTTTACCTTTTAATGCCCACAGCTACCATACCTGTTCAAGCCTTTACCAATCACCCAAATATTTCCAAAGCCTTATAGGCTACCTGTCTCTAGTCATTTATCCTTTAAATCATAAGGCTAATTGCCACCATGTTAAGTTTTCTGAAGTATTTTGCTTTTGTAACTTCTTTCTCATAAATGTTCAATTTCATTTCATTGTTTTAGCATAAAAGTTAAAATTAGCCACTTTTTGCTTTACATGATAACAGTAGTTGTTTTAGCTCATATATCTGATACTTAACACCACATCCACTTCAACCTAGTAACTTTTAAAGAAACACCTCAAGACACAAAGATAACTACTCAGAGTTCCCATTTCTAAAACAAAACAACAAAATACCAAGTTTATCAAAGCAATAATAAGGTAATGGATTACCCTTACCAGTGCCTGACTGACATTTCCTCCAGTGGCTAGTGATTTGAAATGGCTGCTATTATAGACCAACTGAACTTCTGAGATCTCCACTGTTTCCAATTCCTCTTGAGTTTGCCGATCAATTACATGCAGCTTCTCTACACTGTCCAGGAGGACTACTGTGCGTGAGTTTATCCACTGTAATTCAAGCACATAACAGAAGTGAAGCCCATCCTACACCACCATTCAGGATAAGAAGAAAGCTTGACCACTCAGTTAAATTACATTGAGGACTTTATCCATTTAATAACTTGATGATAACACAATCACAGCAAAACTATTTCGTGACAGCCCAGAAAACAGTAGGCATGCAACATAGTACTGAGTTGTGAGAGTGTTACAGTTACTCTTTCATAGTGTAAAATAAGGCTAATCAAGAGCTTTAATAAATTATTATAGGATAAACTGGTTTTAATAAAAATTTTTTAAAGATACATTGGCATAAATGACTTAAGAAAAGTGACAAACTTTGTATTTCCAGTGTTTCTGACATCAAACAAAAGGACAAATTAAATCTCATAATCCTAGGTGGTCAAAGGATGATTGTCAGCATTAAAGGCATATATTTTTTTAAGTAGAAGTATTATTTAAAATATATAGTTCCTTTAAAATCTCTATACAAATTATGAGTTCTTTGTTTTATTTCTTCATATACTCTGAATTTTCTCAGATTAAGTACTATTATAATTTTTAAGGTAATAATAATGTTAAAAATATTCTGAAGGAAGCCATTTTCATCCATTTCTTGTGTTATATATAAGATTTCTTTTTTTCAAAAAAAAATTTTTTTTTAATTCAATCCCTCCCCAAGAAATAAATGAAGTCTTTAAATTTGCTCAATTAGAATACTAAATTAGCCAGAACAAAGTGTTTCCCCAGCACTTTAATTCTTGGGTATTCATGTTGGTTTATTTATACAATCTTTTATGGTATTAGAGATTATATCCCTAATACCATATCAAAACAACCAAGTTGAAAATGGACCAATTTTCTTTTAACATATGCTGAAGATATACTCTATCTATATAGTAGCTACTCTAAGGAAAGGGTTTTGTTGTTTTGTTTTTCCCTAAATAAATTACCTTAGAAAACAGGGAGTTTGGTACTCAAATTTTTATAAAGAGCTTTCATAAGGCACCCTTGATTACTTTAAAAAACCAAGTATCATTTGGGAAAGACAAATTTAGTTTTCTACAATCTTAGTGCTAATTTTTATAGGTCACCTGGTTAAAACAGAATGACAAAGAATACTGGCAGGTTTAGCAATTATTCTGGAGATTAGACCCTCACAAAGGCAAGTGTGTGGACATTGTTGTAAACAAGCCTTTTAAAAGTAATTTATAAAACAATTTAGTGAGTGGTCATATCATGAATAAGCCACAGGACAAATAAACACACCGACTATCCTACTGTTAGGAGCATGGCTGCTTGTGATTGATGGAAACTTTTCCAAGGGCAAAAGAATGCACAGATTTTTTAAATGTCATATCTAAATGTCTTAAGCAGAAATGATGATGATAAACTCTAGGAAACTGTTAGATGGTTCAACAGTGGGTCTGGTAAAGATAAAAACACAGATGTCTTAAATGCATGAGAAGAGTCTGAACAAAATTATTTCATGAAATTTGTAGGGAAAAAAGTATTATTTCTAAATCAATGGTCTATATGTGAGATTAACAGGCAGAGAGAGACATATAATAATTAAAATGGCAAAGACAGAGGATAAGGGGAGTGTGCTAAAAAAAGCCAGAGAGACAAAAAAAGATTACTTATAAGGGAAATCCCATCGGCTATCAGCAGACTTCTCAACAGAAACTCTACAGGCCAGAAGGGAGTGGCATGATATAGTTAATGTAATGAGACAGAAGAACCTCTAACCAAGAATTATCTACCTGGCAAGATTTTCATTTAAATTTGAAGCAGGTATTAAACAATTTCCAAATAAAAGAAATTGAAGAAATTCACCACCACTAAACCAGCCATACACGGTATGTTAAGGGGACTGCTGTAGATGGACATGACGCTAAGGCTAAATAGCTTTCAACAGTGAAAACAAACCCATAGTAAATGTAGTAGATCAACTAATTACCAAGCAAGTATGAAATTAACACAAAACAGAAGAAGGAAAATCAACTATACACAAAATCAGTCAAGGTATACACAAAAAGTACAAATTATGACATCTAATTTGAAAAATGTAGAGGATGAAGAAGGAAAAAAAGTACCTTTAGATTGTGTTTGAAATAGAGTAATCAGCAATCTAAGATAGACTATTATATAATAAAGAAGTCATCCTTGAACCTTGGGAAACCACAAAACTAAAGCCTATTGACAATAAATGCACATAAACACACAAAAATAAACAAATTAAAAAGAGAGAGAGATATTTGACTACAATACTAAAGAAAACCAAGAAAAAGAGTATCAATCAATAAATAGAGAGGAGCATCAGAGAGGAAGAAAGGACCTGAGAGATGATATAAAAACAGCCAGAAAATAATTAATAAAATGGCAATAAATTCATATCTATTAATAATCACCTAAAATGTAAATGGACTGAATGCATCAATCAAAAGACACAGAGTGGCAGAATGGATAAGGAAAGAAGATCCACCTATATGCTAAACATATTACATGCAAATAATAGGGAGAAAAAAGCAAGAATAGCAGTACTTATATCAGACTAAATAGATTTCAAAACAAAGAAAGTAACAAGAGTTAAAGAAGGACATTACATAATGATAAAGGGATATCATTATATCCAAGAGGATATAACCATTATAAATATCTATGCACCCAACACAGGTGCACCTAAATATGTAAAACAAACACTAACAGAATTAAAGGGGGAAACAGATTGCAACACATTCAATTTAGTAGACTTTAACACACCATTCACATCAATAGATCAACCAGACAGAAATAAAATAAGGAAACAAAGACACTGAACATTAGATCAAATGGACTTAAGATATCTATAGACACTATGTCCAAAAGCAGCATGATATATATTTTTCTCAAGTGTACATGGAAAATTCTCCAGAATAGATCACATACTGGGCCATAAAAAGAGCCTCAGTAAGTTCAAAAAGATTGAAATTGTGCCAACCAGCTTCTCAGACCACAAAGGTATGAAACTAGAAATAAATTGAGCAAAGAAAACAAAAGAGCCCACAAACACATGGAAGCTAAACAACATGCTGCTAAAATATCAATGGATCAATGAACAAATTAAAACACTAAGCAATACATGGAAACAAATGAAAACAAAACAAACAGCCCAAAATCTGTGGGACATGGCAAAGGCAGTTCTAAGAGGTAAGTACACAGCAATACAGGCTTACCTCACAAAACAAGAAGAACCCCAAATAAACAGTCTAAACTCACAATTAAAGAAACTAGAAAAAGAAGAACAAATGAAAGCCAAAGTCAGTAGGAAGATGGACATAATAAAGATCAGAGCAGAAATAAATAAAATAGACAAGTATAAAACAATAGAGACTAGGAATTCACATGCAGAGAGGAAAGACCATGTGAGGATACAAGAGGAATGCCTGTCTGCAAGCCAAGGAAAGAGGCTACAGAATAAAGCTGCTGACACCTTGACCTTGGACTTCCACCCTCCAAAACTGTGAGAAAAGGCCATACTTTAAGAATGAAGGGCTGGCAATAGGCCCGAGGGATTAAAGATAGTGTCGTGAGAGGTGAGGCAGAGGCCTCCTTCCAAACCACATATAATATGAAAATATAATACAACTAATCCTGAAAGAGCAACAGGAAAGAAGGCTGCGCCACACTGCATACACCTGGAGAAAAGAACAGACCTCATGGAACAGGGTAACATACCAAAGCCATGATCTGGTGGGACCCAAGCCCTTGCCGCACCCAAGCTCACTGGTGGGAGGAACAGAAACAAAGCAGGGAGGGAGTGGAGGCCAGGGACTGCAGAACACCCAGCCCTGGAGATCTGCTCTGGGAACATGAGCCTACATTGCATGGTGCTCTGGTGATTAGTGGGGTTGAAAAGCTAAGACAGGTGAAAGATCTGGAGAGACAGATTCCAGCCACCTGTGGAAAACAGGGATCCATATCTGACTGTTCCAGGACAAAAGAAAGGCAGGCAGTCTGAGAGACTTCCTTAAAGTGAGAGGGCTGCTAAAAGGGCAAGGATTGCACAGAGCTTACTGCTCAGGAGAAAGGACAGGTAGACAAAATTTTCTGGGTGCACTCTGCCCAGCAGATTGGGAATTTTCAGGAGATTCAGGTGCTCCAAACCCTCTGGCTGGCTATACAGCTCCAAGGACCCCCACTGTGATAGTAGCCTGCTGCACCTTCCTCCAAGCCAGCCTGCACCTGGCTCACAAACCAGCAGCCCCTGCCCTGGCATCAGAGAACCCAGAGGGAAGCCTCATCTACGGCAGCTACAAACACAAAGTATATAGGATTACACCTGTGTGTTCAGTCCACTGGTTCTGGCAGTGGAGACAGGCATCGCAGCCAAGAAGCAGGAAACAGATCTTTCCTCCCCCAAGGCACCAGAACTGCTCCCCTGTGACACCTGACATCAGTCCAGGGGCTGAGCAGCTCCAAATAGTAGAGCTTCTGGGCACTAGAGGGTGCCACATACAAATACAAAATGTAAAAGGAAACTGATTCAAATCCAAATCCCACAAACACCAGAAAAAGGGTTAAGTGAAACTGATCTTACCAATTTTCCTGAAAGAGATTTCAAAATAAAAACCATAAACATGCTCATGGAGGTACAGAAAAATATTCAAGAACTCAGGTGCGAATTCAGGTCAGAGATCCAATCATTACGGAATAAAATGGAGGGATTTAAAAGCAGATTAGATATGGTGGAGGAGACGATACATGAAATAGAAATTAGAGAAGAGGAATACAAAAAAGCTGAGGCATAGAGAAAAAATGATCTCTAGGAATGAAAGAATACTGAGAGAACTGTGTGACCAATCCGAATGGAACAATATTCGTATTATAGGGATACTAGAAGAAGAAGAGAGGAAAAAAAGGGCTAGAAAGTGTCTGGGTGGAGAATATGAACAATTCTCCAAAGAAGAAATTCAGGTGGCCAACAGGCACATGAAAAGATGCTCCACATCACTAATTATCAGGGAAATGCAAATTAAAACCACAATGAGATACCACCTCACGCCAGTGAAGATGGCCAACATCAAAGAGACTAAGAACAACAACTGCTGGCAAGGATGCAGAGAAAGGGGAAACCTCCTATGCTGCTGGTGGGAATGTAAGCTAGATCAACCATTGTGGAAAGCAATATTGAGGTTCCTCAAAAAACTAAAAATAGAAATACCATTTGACCCAGGAATCCCACTCCTAGAAATTTACCCGAAGAATATAATTTCTCAGATTCAAAAAGACATATGATCTGATAAAGGGTTGACATCCAAAATAAATAAAGAGCTCATGCACCTCAACAAACAAAAAGCAAATAATCCAATTAAAAAATGGGCAGAGGAGCTGAACAGACACTTCTCCAAAGAAGAAATTCAGATGGCCAACAGACACATGAAAAGATGCTCCACATCACTAGTCATCAGAAAAATGCAAATTAAAACCACAATGAGATATCACCTCACACCAGGAAGAATCCCCACCATCCAAAATACAAACAACAACAAATGTTGGTGAGGTTGTGGAGAAAAGGGAACCCTCCTACACTGCTGGTGGGAATGCAAATTAGTTCAACCATTGTGGAAAGCAGTATGGAGGTTCCTCAAAAAGCTCAAAATACAAATACCATTTGACCCAGGAATTCCACTTCTAGGAATTTACCCTAAGAATGCAGGAGCCCAGTTTCAAAAAGATATATGCACCCCTATGTTTATTGCAGCACTATTTACAATAGCCAAGAAATGGAAGAAAACTAAGTGTCCATCAGTAGATGAATGGATAAAGAAGATGTAGTACATATACATGATGGAATATTATTCAGCCATAAGAAGAAAACAAATCCTATACTGTTTGCAACAACATGGATGGAACTAGATAGAGGGTATTATGCTCAGTGAAATAAGCCAGGTGGAGAAAGACAAGTACCAAATGATTTCACTCATGTGTGGAGTATAAGAACAAAGAAAAAACTGAAGGAACAAAATAGCAGCAGAATCACAGAACCCAAGAATGGACCAAAAGGTACTAAAGGGAAAGGGACTGGGGAGGATGCGTGGGAAGGTACGGATAAGGGGTGGGGGGAAGAAAATGGGCATTAAGATTAGCATGTATAATGGGGGGGAGGCACAAGGGGAGAATCTAGTAAACATAATGTTCTTCACGTAACTGTAGATTAATGATACCAAAATTAAAAATAAATAAATAAATAAGACATATGTACCCTATGTTTATTGCAGCACTATTTACAATAGCCAAGATTTGGAAGCAACCTAAGTGTCCATCAGTACATGAATGGATAAAGAAGTTGTGGTACATATACACAATGGAATACTATTCAGTCATAAGAAAGAAACATCCTACCATTTGCAACAATATGGATGGAGCTGGAGGTTGTTATGCTCAGGGAAATAAGCCAGATGGAGAAAGACAAGTACCAAACGATTTACCTCCTTTGTGGAGTGTAACAACAAAGCAAAACTGAAGGAACAAAACATCAGCAGACTCACAGACTCCAAGAAGGGACTAGCGGTTACCGAAGGGGAGGGGTGTGGGAGGGAGAAGGGGATTGAAGGGTATTATGATTGGCACACATGATGTGGAGGGATGATGGGGAAGACAGTGTAGCACAGAGAAAGGAAATAATGACTCTGTGGCATCTTACTATACTGATGAACAGTGACTGCAATGGGGCATGAGGGAACTCGATGAGACCTTCATAAGAGTACATATCAAAAATACCTTAATAGAATATAAATGAATAAATTAATTAAAATTAAAATAAAACAATACAAAAAAATCAATGAAACCAGGAGTTGGTTCTTTGAGAAAATTTAAAAAATAGATAAACCCCTTGTCAGACTTATCAAGAAAAAAAGATAGATACACACATAAACTGAATCAGAAACAAAAAAGAAATATCAACAGATAACAGAAAACAAAGAATTATTACAGAATACTATAAAAAATTATATGTCAATAAATTGGATAACCTAGGAGAAATGGACAACTTCCTAGAAAAATCAACCTTCCAAGGCTAACCCAGGAAAAAACAGAAAATCTGAATAGACTAATTGCCAGCAATGAAATCAAATTGGTAATCAAAAACTCCACCAAAACAAACTACAGGTACAGATGGCTTCACAGCCAAATTCTACCAAACATTTAAAGAGCAAATACTCATTCTTCTTAAAGCATTCCAAAAAGAAGAAGAGGAGGGAATATGTCCAAACTCATTCTATGAGGCCAGCATCACTCTACTATCAAAACCAGACAGACCACAAAAAATTAAATTACAGACCAATATACCTGATGAACACAGATGCAAAAATACTCAATAAAATATTAGCAAACCAATTCCAAAAATACATCAAAAAGATCATCCATCATGACCAAGTGGGATTTATTCCTAGGATGTAAAAATGGTACAATATTCCTAAATCCATCAATATTATACATCACATTAATAGAAAGGATAAAAACCAGATGATCATCTCAATAGAATGCTGAAAAACTGTTTGACAAAATTCAACACCCATTCATGATAAAAACTCTCAACCAAATGGGTATAGAGGGCAAGTACCTCAACATAATAAAGGCCATATATGACAAAACCACAGCCAACATCATACTTAATAGCAAAAAGCTGAAAGCATTTCCTCTTAAGATTGGAAACAAGATAAGGATGCCTACTCTCACCACTTTTATTCAGCATAGTACTGGAGGTCCTAGTCATGGCAATCAGACAACACAAAGAAATAAAAGGCATCTAGATTGCTAAGGAATAAGTTAAACTGTCACTGTTTGAAGATGACATGATATTGTACATAAAAACCCTAAAGAATCCGCTCCAAAACTACTAGAATTAATAACAATTCAGCAAAGTTTCAGGATACAAAATTAATATAAAGAAATCTGTTGCATTCCTACATACTAAAAATGAACTAGCAGAAAGAGAAATCAGGAAAACAATTCTGTTCACAATTGCATCAAAAAGAACAAAATACCTAGAAATAAACCTAACCAAGGAGCTCAAAGACCTATACTCTGAAAACTACAAGACACTCATGAGAGAAATTAAAGAAGACACGAATATATGGAAATACATCCCAGGCTCATGGATAGGAAGAATTAATTTGTCAAAATGGCCATCCTACCCCAAGCAATTTACAGATTCAATGCAATCCCAACAAATACCAATAGCATTCTTCAATGAACTAGAATAAATAGTTCCAAAATTCATATGGAACCACAAAAAACCCCAAATAGCCAACACAATCCTGAGAAAGAGGAACAAAGCTGGGGGGATTATGCTCCCTGACTTCAAGCTCTATTACAAAGCTAGAGTAATCAAGACAATTTGGTACTGCCTCAAGAACAGACCCATAGATCAATGAAACAGAAGAGAGAGCCCAGATATAAATCTACATATATATTGTCAATCAATAAAGGAGCCATGAAAATACAATGGGGTAAAGACAGCCTCTTCAACAACTGGTGTTGGGAAAACTGGACAACTACCTGTAAGAGAATGAAACTGGATTATTGTCTAACTCCATACACAAAATTAAACTCAAAATGGGTCAAATACCTGAATGTAAGTCATGAAACCATAAAACTCTGAGAAGAAAACATAGGCAAAAATCTCTTTAATATAAGCTGGTGAGGATGCAGAGAAATATGAACCCCCCTACACTGTTTGTGTGACTGCAAATTGGTGCAACCACTGTGGAAAGCAGTGCGGAGGTTCCTCAAAATACTAAAAATAGAAATACCATTTGACCCAATAATTCCATTCCTAGGAATTTACCCCCAAAAAACAAAATACCCAATTCAAAAAGATATACGTACCCCTATGTTTATCGCCACACTGTTTGCAATAGCCAAGATATGGAAGCAACCTAAGTGTCCAACAACAGATGAATGGATAAGAAGATGTGGTACATATACACAATGGGATATTTTTCAGCCATAAGAAGAAAACAAATCCTACCATTTACAACAACACGATGGAGCTAGAGGGCATTATGCTCAGTGAATAAGCCAGGTGGAGAAAGACAAATAGCATATGATTTCACTTATTTGTGGAATATGAAAACAAAGCAAAACAGAAAGAACAAAAAACAGCATTAGACTCATAGACACTGAGAAGTGACTAGTGGTTACCAAGGGGGAGGGGAATGGCCAGGGATGGGGGGAGAGGGAAGGGGGTCTGTTGAACCACTGTGATATATATTTGATAATTTAAAAACAAAATTATTTTAAAAATCCTTCAAACATAAGTATATAAATAAGTTGCTCAGGACTGAGATATACTGTAGAGTGAAAACTCTGCAGTTTTTAACCACAAAGAAAGAATAGGTACATAAGCTCCAGAACCAATTAGGATAAGCTCAGAAGTCCAACAATATGTTTGACAAAGAAAGCCAGGCAATGATGCTGAAGAAACCCATCAAAACTCTTCGCCTTTGAACTAACCACATTAAAGAAAACTTTTCCTGATCCTGCTAATGTTCAGCAGGACATAAAGCTAAAAGACAATAAAAATAATGTGACATCACACCAAACTGAGACCTTATTCACCATTAGCAGAATTTCACCTTCTGTCCTTATTTTAGATAATCCTAAAGGCCACAGTTCATGGCCAAAATTCTAGAAGCTTTAATACACCATGGAGTCAAAACAATTACATGAAATAAGTGGAGACATGTACTTTGAGTAATACTCACAGTAAAGTTGATGAGGTCATAGTACAGGTGAAGATGCTTTTGCTTAGTAACATGTATTGCTCCAGATTCATCTCTCTTAACCTAGTGATGAAATAAAAACATAAATATCAACTATTTTTTAGGTACTCTTTTAGATAGTTAATTATACTCCATCTAGAAAATGATTTCCAGAGTACAGATAAGCCAAAAACACTGATAAAGAAACTATTACACAAATGAAAAAAATCATCCACATCATGATTTGTACCAAAATCCAACACATATCTACTCAGTAGTCTAGTTTTGAGTACTGACAAATGCTGTAATGTTATTTTCACTCTTTCATAATTCAGAACTAACTTTATCACATCATTGATTGTATTTAGCCAGAGTTAAAGCATTCAATGGGATTGGTGACATGGTGTGAAGTCCCACAAAATTTCATTTAAAAAAAGCTACAGTGACAAAACTAGACTTTTCTGAAGCATATTATTATAGGTCAAACAGCCCCACACTTTCCAAAAAAAACCTTCAGTGTCAATCATTTATATATATATATATATATGTATACATTGTACATACATACTCTCTAGCCTTCAAGCATCCTTACAATTTGCTTTCTCTGCTTCTGCTCCGAGGTGATAGAGTACTGAAGAAAGGAGACAGCACAATATATGACTGACACCTAAATTCATGACATTCCCTCCAACCTGGGTTTTCCTGTACACTCCCCATAGTAGTGTTTCAGATGTCTTCTTTTCCCTTTTGTCCCATTCCTCTTTGTTGTCCAGTCCCATCACTTGTAGTACTGACCTCACCAGGTACTTTAAGAAACATCTGAGACCACTTAATGTGGGCCCTTCATGTCCTCTCATCTTCACTTCCCTGAGCTACTTCCCATGTAAGAAAGGATGGTCTGGTAAAAGGAGCATGGGATCTAGAGCCATGTATTTGAGAGTAAGTTCCACTATTGCAGCAGTGTGACCAAGGGCAAATCACTTAGTCTCTCTGTTTCCTCATTTGAAAAATGAAAATAAGACAGCACCAAATTATTCCATCTTCTGCATATGTTGAAAGTGTTTCATAAGCAAAAAGATCAATAGTCACATTACCTATTCTCTGAAAATTTGCTCAAGTCCTTACTAAAGAAAATCATTTCATTTCTATATACTCAAAATCCTACCCCCTCCATCACTGTTTAGTATTACATCTCCCTTGTTAGTATAGTCAATCACTCCCTTTTAAGGGCCCTTTTCCTTTTACTATCAAACATGTTTCTAATTTCTCTATCTTTGAATAAAAAACAAAAACAAAAAAAAATCTTCCCTTGATTTACTTTTTATAGATTTACTTACTCATTCTCTTTCCTCTTGCATCCAAATACTGTACATTTGCTCTTTTAGACACCCATTGCTTTAACAAAGTTCTACAATCTAATTTCTACCTCTATTCCATTGATAATTAGGCCGCAGAAATGTTCTAATGAGAGACTTCTTATATATCCAGTGGTCCTTGTCTTCAGTCTTCCACCTTGATCTTTATTCAGTATTGGTATTACCTTGGAATTGACACTGACCTGAAGGCTCTCCCCTTTGTCTTCTGTGACACCATACTGTCCTATTTCCCCTCCTATCTCTATGTGGCTTTATAGGAACTCCTGTTTTGTTTTTCCTTTCTTTTGTGTGAGTGTGTGCCAAGGTTATATATGCTTTAGCTTTTGAATTTCACAGCTTCAACTACCCTCCATATCCTGAAATTTCAAATGCATTCCAGACCTGCATTGCCATCTGTCCAGAGGCCATTCCCTGATAGAACAGTTGGGAGTCCCAGCTTCACTTCCAACTAAACACATTAAAATCTTCTCTAACCCTAACCCTTCAAATATTCCAAGCTTCTAAAATGCAGTCAGAAATGCAATGTTTAATTCACATCCTTCAGTCCCTAGATCCAATGAGAAGCCTTGTCTTTCCTTCAAAATATCATCCCTAATTCTCACTGCCACTAACCACTCTTATCTAAAGATCTCACACCTTTAGTACAACAGCAAAACCTCTATTTTCTTCCTATCTCCTACAATCCATTCTTTTTGCTACTTCTACACTGATCTTCCTAAAAAATCACCGTTATCACATCTTTATCACTTTAAGAACCTGTGAAAGTACCCCATTACCTATCTGTCATTTTTCATACAATCTAGACCAGAGGTCAGCAAACTTTTTCTGTAAAAGGCCACACAATAAGTATTTTAGGTTCTGTGGACCACATAGCTTCTGTTACAATTACTCACCTCTGTCACTGTCATGAGAAAGCAGTCATAAATAATATATAACCAGATGAGCATGACTGTATCCCAATAAAACTTTATTTACAAAAACAAGCAGTTGGCCAGATTTGGCCCACAGGTCATAGTTTGCCAACCCCTAATCTAAATTCATGCCATATATTCAGTTTTATTTTCCATAGTAGTTTCTCCCTGTCATCATACTTATAAACATTTACTAAGCATCTTGTACATATAGGCACTGTCCTAGTGACTGGAATATAGCAGTAGAGTTGTTCTTTAGACCTATGGAGCTTTCAGTATACTGAGACAGCAAAATATTAGACAAGTAATTTAAAAAGTGCTGAATGTTACAAAGGAGAAGGTCTTCCGGGTGTATGCTGCAAGAAATGCTAACTTACTTCAGACAGTCAGGGAGGACAATGTTAATCATGAGCTAGGATAAGGGGAGCACAGCACTTTCCTGGCAGAGCTAAGACATGTAAAGACAGCAAAGCCAGAGAATAGTCAGGAAGCTACTCAGAGCCGAGGCTAGAAATGTCAGTGGTTTGGGCTAGAGAAGCAGCAATGGGAGAGACAAAGAGAGTAAATTCAGGAGATTCTGGAGATACAGTCAACAGGATGTGGTAATGGAGCAGAAGTAAAGGGAAAAGGGTAACTGAAAGGCAGGGTAACTCCTGAGTTTCTGGCTGGAGAAACCTAAGGGGACAACAGTGCTGGCTTCACTGAGCTAGGAAACCAAGAGATTACACAGGCACCTTCTTACCTCTATAACTTCAGTTCATCTTACTTGCCCCAATGTGCATGTCTACCTCTCCTATAGCATTTGCTGTATATCCTTCATAAAGTCTTGCATGCCTCTCCAGTCCATACAAATCTCTCTGTATTCTGAACTCATACCAACTTTTAATTCTCATCACAGAGTTGAATCCTTAAACTGTTCTCCCTAGTAGTAATGACCATACTGGTTTTGTCTTTCAAATAATATTTTGAGCTACATGAAAGAAAAAATTATGCTTTGTACTCCCTGTGTCCATCACAGTATAGAGAACATAGCAAGTATTTAATGATACTTGTTGTCTGATAAATATACTTTATGTTGATAGGTAAGCTATTAACATAAACACATGTACCTTCATATATTTATACATAAGCCATTAATTATTTCTTAGTCAAAGGAGATAAAATTGACAAATACACAATGAAGGGGCATGGAGTTGAGGGTCATCAGTTGTTTTCCATGTTAATCATTAAAGCCCTAAATAAAATTAAATAGACCACTTTCTCTCCAAAGAATTATGATACATATTTCTTTGACACAATATTAAATTATTGGTGAATCAGGAAGAAAATCTTATGATAAAGGACTTTATAATAGATCTAGCCTCATATTAGGACTTACCAATAGGAAATGAACAACATCTCCTCTGCAGAATGCAAGCATGGGATTCACATAATTATGCACTGCCACAAAGTGCCAGGCCAGCAACGGAACACTGGAAGGATCCATCTAAGTGAGGAGAAGGCCAAAAAAAAGTCATCACAGTAAACAAATGTACACTCGAGATCTGTGCTTTAAATTGTGTGTAAATTTTACACCAAAGGAAAAAGTGAAATATTGAACTCTTGGTAATCATATACATGATGAATATTTAGAGAAAAGACTACTGATTCCTGCAATTTATTTGGAAATACATTTTAAAAAAAACATAATTTGATAGGTAGAGAGATGGATAAACATATAATAAAGAACAGTACAACATTAATGGTAGAAGTTAGTAAGTATACAGATGTTTGATGCAAAATTCCTTCTACTTCTGTATTTGTTTGAAAATATTCATATGAAAATGTTGAGGAAAATACCAATCAAAAATACAAAAAGATGCAAACACATACCACCATGATAAGCATCGATTAGCCAATAAAGCTCATGTAAGAAATGTTAATAGCAATCTATGCCAGCTTTGCCATCTGAACAAGTAGATGTGCTTCCCCTGGGGCCCAGAGATACAGAGAATATCAGCAAGAAAACTCCCAGTATAAAGGCCACTTTCTGAACTAGCCTTAGTTTGGTACCATCATTCTCCATCCCACCTATCAATATCTCTCCTCATATAGACACTGGAAGATCACAACTCTCTGAAAACAACCAACCAGAACAGAAAAGGGCAACTGGGGCACGCAAAATATATTCTGTGAAGTATCACCCCCAAAGTAAAATGTCAGAGTCAGAATATAAGCAGCAATTTATGCTGGATATTAAGGTGGTTCCCAATCAGTAGTTCAATATCAAAGCAGTAGCTGTTTACAGAGAAAAACTTAAAGCAATAAGGGTAGAAAAGTACACTCTAGGGGTCTCATGATCTCCAGAACACTTCTGCAGTCATAAGCTTATGCTGCTTTGGTCACATCAAGGTAAGTTCACATAATGATCTTCAGAGCACTGATGTCCATTATGTCTAGTTATCTGACAATCTCACAGAATTCACCATTTACAAGTCATTTTCTTTCCCCAACCTCTTTTGCCAATAAGATGGAGAGGCTTACTCACCCGTCCATAGGGAAAAGTCATCCATACTTTCAAGGATGGTTTCAATCCAATAACCAGTATCTTTAGGAGAAAAACATTTTTAATATTTACACTATAATTTTCAATTTTTTGGTATTCAAAGCTTCAAAAGTTAAGAATTTCATCTTCTAAACACACCTACCTTTGTTAGGGATGCCATGGCCAATAAGGAAAACTGTGTGATGGGATGATCTTTCAACTCAGGCTTAGAGTGGAGAGGCTCAATACAGCAAACTTCACCCTTGGAACCGCTGAACAGACACCTAGAGTCACACGTTCTCACCCCCATCACTCTCCTGAAAATGTAACAAAAGAACTCAAGAGTTGATTTAGCAACCATCCAAGGCACTATCATCTCTGGCGTGGACTACAACAACAGCCTCCCAATTCTTATTCTTGTCCTCAACAATCCTCCACATGACATAAGCATGATCTTTTAATATACAGGTCAGAGTTATCACTCTTCTGAAAACATTCCAAGGCTTGCCACTGTACATAAAATGAAATCCAAACTCTTCACCATGTTTTAAAATGTCCTATATGATCTGGCTTCTGCCTTTACTCTTCTCCTACTACTGTTGTTCCTGACAAAGTCAAGCTCCAGCCACACGGCCTCTTTCCTTTGTTCCAGCAGGCCAAGTTCGTGTCCACCTCAAAGCCTTTGTGCTTGAACGTCCCTTTGCCTGGGACACATCTTCAGATCTTTGCATTTGATAATCTTGGCAGATTATCATTCAGGTCTTTCTTCAAATGTCACCTTCTGAAAGAGACCTTCCTAAATTATCCTCCAGTACACTCCAGCACAATGACCTGTCTTATTTTCTTCACAACACTCATTAACTATGGCAAATATCTCATTTATTTGTTGGTTTATTGTCTGCCTCCCAACCCCATCCCAACTAGAATGTAAGTTCTACTAGAGTAACAACCTTGCTTGGTTCACAGCTGCAACTTTGGTGCCTAGAACAAATGCCTTCATATAGGAAACATTCAATAAACATTAGCTAAATGAATACTATTTTTTTAAGCAATTACCTTGGACTCAGCATTGTTCAAAGGTATGAAAAATATAAGAAACAAATATAGTCTTACACTGAAAAATGTGTGGAAACATAACATAGATTGACTTGTCTTTTTTCAATTCAGCTTTACAAATGTTCTTCCATGTATCTAGACAGTCTTTATTCTTAAAGAGTAAATAGGCAATTCCAAAAAACCTTTCTACACCTGGCCATTATGGTTATTATCAACTGGGCTGGAGGCCTAAACCAAAATAAGTGAGAAACTCAAGAGTAACAGTTCCCAAGCTTGACAGCTCATATGAATCCTTTGGGGAGTAGGAGTCTAGAATCCCAACTCAGACCTACTGAGATAGAACTTGGGGTGGGAGGGCAGACCTACAACCCTGTATGTTCTATATGCCTCCCCAGGTGATCATAGCACACAGCCATAACTTATTTTCAGTTACATGGACTTCTCAGACCTCTTTATGTTCAACTTCAAGTCATTAAACCAGAGCTGGTCTTTTCATTTGTCAACAAATGTTCATAAGCCTCTTACTTAAATGTCAATTCAAAAACAGAGCCTCCGCTGTCGTTACAAATTGCAAGAGTTGGATCATCTGTAAACTAAACAGAGAAGGAATTTATATTCTTACAGATTTTTAAACAACCAGTCAAGTGTTAAGACAGTATGGGCAAAAAAATTATAAAATTTAAAAAATTTAAAATAAATACATTTAACAGCATTTGAATCACCTAAATTAGATTTAGCTCATCGCTCTAAAAAAACAACCTTACCCATATTCAGAATAAAAATTGCTCAAAATATTTAAAAAACTGAGGCTTTAAAAAAGCAAAACCACCTTTCATCAGAATAAAAGAAAAACACAAACTATGATTCATAAAGCCCTAAAATTCTCTAGTTGGGTTCTTATGTTAACTTTTTCTAACTTGCTATTAAATGAATAAGATATTTTAGATACATTTGTACTTGCCTAGTTTTCAAGAATAAAGACACAGTAATAGATATTTGGTATCTCTGGGAAATAAACTTGTCTGAATATTTTCTGAATAACTGAAGAGTTAATCCACTATATTTAAAATAGTTTAACTTCTTAGTAATTTTTCCAAATACGGAAAAATCCTTGATCTTCTTCAACAGAGGATACTCCAGTTATTATTTATTGAAGTATTTTGTTCACAATGACAAGCATCCTAAGGGCTTATAAGGTATGGGAAATGTGAATGTTGTATGATACAAAATTGAGTAACTTAACTTGTACCATTTACAGTGACTAGTTTCCCTAACCCCAAAGGTTGGTGAACCATCTTAGTGGCACACCTATGTGCTCTTAGGTATGGTTAACATACAGAAGGATACTGCAAAATTATTCCTCCTTGACCACATGCACAGGCATAGTAAAGAAGCCCTACACCTTAGCTCTCAAAGCCTAGGAGCAATTGCCAAAGTGGGGGGGCATATACCCCTGGAGTGTAGGAAAAATAATAGAACTCATATTTTTACTTATTAATTTTCTGCTTTCTGTGTTTTAAAATATACTTCGATATTATTCCAAATATTCCAATTCCAATTAATACACATTTTTATAATTCTATATATGTGTGTATACAGAAAAGTACAGATCTCATTGACCCCCCAGGACACAATCTATCTATTAAGGAGAGTGAAAACCCTAATTATTACTGATGAAATGTAGGATTAAGTTTAAAGAACAGTGAGTAAGAGCCCTGAAATGGAAGTGGCTGTTGTCAATCCAAGACTTCAGAAGTATTCAATCATGTATCTCTTGCTCTTTCTCCAATGTCACAGTGTCAGCACACACCAACTTTGTCACCATTCTCAAGCAACACAATGGACTACTATTGCTTTTAACCTTAGCTGCATTCTTCCCTTTTCTGTCTTTATTTCCTCTGTTTCCTATTGTTCCTCCCCTAAACTGTGCTTTTTACTGCAAATGGACTGGCTTTGTATAAACACCACCAACTAGCTTTTTTTTCCATCACATATTTATTGAGCAGCTACTATGCATCAAACACTTAAGTAAGTAAATAACAGATTCTGGTTTTAAAGGTCTTAATCTATTGAAGGAGATAAGATATAAACACAAACAACTATGACATATTAGAAGTTGGCACATTCCATATGAAAAGAGGTCAAAATAAACTGCCATTGGTGTTCAAAAAGAGCTATTCTCACTACATTTACTTGGTTGTTTTCATTGTTACTAAATGTTTGAATTCTGCTTTGTCACAGAAGACATTTCTACAACTACTCTAGATGCAGATACATAAACTCCAGATGCTTGCAGACTTTAAAAGGCTTATGCATGGATAAGAGAGGTCTGCACAGCTAAGCAACCAAATGTGCATATCATTAAAATCTAGAAGACCTGATTTTAGACTTCCCTATTTATAGCCCTTTACTTTTATGTTTATGAACATGGGCTTGACAGCATACAAAAAGCAAGATTCACATTGTATTTATAGATGAAATCTGTTACCTAACTCAGTGTATTTTTTTCAGACCTGTAAGGATAAAGCCAAATGCAAATCTTAATGTTTTCCTTTAGAGGCCTAAAAGAAAATAAACCAACAGATTCATTTCTAAACATACTGCAAACATCAGTTCTTTTACAATTGTGCCCTGAACCTCAGGCAACTCCCAACAAAGTGTGACAGAACATACCACCTCAGCAATAAAACCTTGGTGGACTAAACAAAAGATTAAAAAGACGTTTTAAATTTCCACGTGAGCTTGCAGCAGGGTACTGCCTGTCTTTGCCGCCAACCTCTCACCTAGGATGACATCAGTTAACTCTTTTTGCTGCTATACCTGTTAGACTTTCATACAACTTGCTGCTGAAGACTCCCTTGCTAGCCTATCTCTGGTTTTAACTTCGGAAAACATCTCGTTGGAGCAAGTCAAATAAAAGACAACTCACTTTCAAGGATTCTGTTCATAAAGAAACTTACTTAAAAATGTATGCAGAGGTACAATAATAAAAATTATTAGAAAAAGAAAACAAAGATATTACCTTAATATGTAATATTGCTGTTCCTGGAGGATGAGCATCTATGATTGATCTTAGAAGTTTTCCACTGGCCAAATCCCACATAGTGATCTACAAGACAACTAAATGCTTTAAAAACAAATGTACTTGGCACAAGAACAGACCAATAGACCAACGGAACAGACTAGAGAGCCCAGACATAAACCCAAGCATATATGGTCAATTAATATACAATAAGGAGCCACGAATATACAGTGGGGAAATGACAGCCTATTCAACAATTGGTGTTGGCAAAACTGGGCAGCTACATGCAAGAGAATGAAACTGGATTATTGTCTAACCCAGTTTACACAAAAGTAAACTCAAAATGGATCAAAGACCTGAATATAAGTCATGAAAACATAGGCAAAAATCTCTTGAATATAAGCATGAGCAACTTTTGCCTGAACATATCTCATCGGGCAAGGGAAACAAAAGAAAAAAATGAACACATGGGACTATACCAAGCTAAAAAGCTTCTATACAGCAAAGGACACCATCAGCAGAACAAAAGGCATCCTACACTATGGGAAAATACATTCGTAAATGACATATACAACAAGGGGTTAACATCCAAAATATATAAAGAACTCACATACCTCAATACGCAAAAAGCAAATAACCCAATTAAAAAGTGGGTGGAGGATACGAACAGACACTTCTCCAAAGAAGAAATTCAGATGGCCAAAAGGCACATGAAAAGATGCTCCACATCACTAATTACCAGGGAAATTCAAATTAAAACCACAATGAGATATCACCTCACACCACTTACGACAGCCAATATCGAAAAGATTAGGAACAACAAATGCTAGTGAGGATGCAGAGAAAGGGGAACCCTCCTACACTGCTGGTGGGAATGTAAGCTAGTTCAACCATTGTGGAAAGCAGTATGGAGGTTCCTTAAAAAAACTAAAAATAGAAATACCATTTGACCCAGGAATCCCACTCCTTGGAACTTACCCAAAGAGTACAAGTTCTCAGATTCAAAAAGACATATGCACCCCTATGTTTATTGCAGCACTATTTACAATTGCCAAGATATGGAAGCAACCTAACTGTCCATTCGTAAATGAATAAAGAAGATGTAGTACATATACACAATGGAATACTATTCAGCCATAAGAAAGAAACAAATCCTATCATTTGCAACAACATGGATGGAACTGGAGGATATTATGCTCAGTGAAATAAGCCAGGTGGAGAAACACAAGTGACAAATGATTTCCCTCATTTTTGGAGTATAACAATGAAGCAAAATTGAAGGAACAAAACAGCAGTAGACCCACAGACTCCAAGAAGGGACTTGTGGTTACCAAAGTGGAGGCATGTGGGAGGATGGGTGGGAGGGAGGAAGAAGGGGATTGAAGGGTATTATATTTAGTACACATGGTGTAAGGGGTCATGGGGAAAGGCAACAAAGCAGCACAATGAGGGCAAATAGTGACTCTGTGGCATCTTACTACACTGATGGACAGTGACTGCAATGGGGTATGGGTGGAGACTCGATAATATGGGTAAATGTAGTAACCACATTGCTTTTTCATCTGAAACCTTCATAAGAGTGTATATCAATGATACTTTAGTAAAAAATAAATAAATAAATAAAAACAAATGTACTGCTTCTTTTTACACTTAAGTATCCTGCCTTGTGAAGGAAATTACTTACTCCTAGTCTATAAGCATTGCAGGCAAAGAACTATAATGTTAAGACATAACTAAAGGTTGCAGACCATTAAAGTACAGAGCCTATATTCCTTATTCATCCTCTCTTCATCCTGCCCAATCTATTTTTCCCTTCACATTTTAAATGTTGTTCTTACACTGAGAGGTGAATGAAATTTCTTTAATGGGTCCATCTCCTTAGCACTGGTAAAAATTACAGGACAGGCTTATTCCCAAACCAGCTAGTAAGTCAGAAGATGAGAAAAAAAAATTATTGCCAGTTTCAGAAATAGAAAGAAACACCAAAATAGTTATCCAGGAACACAGTACTAAGAATACAGAAAACAGAATAGAGCATATTTAAGAGCAGCAACAATTATCTATACTTCTGTAAGGAAGTAAATTTTGGTATAACAGACTGGTTGGTTTATAAATGCTATTCACTTATGTAGACACATGAATTAAGACATTAAAAATCAGATTCTACTCTGGCTCAGCCAATAGTAATTGTGACAAAATTTGAACAAGACAGAAGTCAAAGTGAGCAACCTCAGGTTGGCTTTTTAATAACAAATATTTTGGTCTTCAAGATACTGACCTGGATATACTAGTTCTTTAAAATTGACTTTAACATTGTTTTATGGATAAAATAAAGCTCATATTTACCTGTCCTTTAGCAAAGCCACAGAGAAGTCTTGAACAGTCATTGTTGATACTGAGCGCAGAGATGGCTCCATACTGACCTCCAACACTAGTGCTACCCAGACAGAGTCGCAAAGCTTGATTCTGATCTAAAGAAAGTGATTTATAAAGTCAAGTGAAAGAAAAGAGTGAATAAATATATATTTAGCATAGGCTTGTTCTCAAAGACTTGAGAGGTAGCAAGAATCAAAAGAATCAAACGATGAAGTTACATTCATTTTAAAATGTATTTATTGAGTACCTACTAGATGCTGGGCATTGAATTAGACACTAAGAATGTAAGGAAAAACAAATAAGGAATCAGAATGCAAAACTCACTAATAATAAGCAAAATAATTCTAAGAGATCTGTATCTCCTTGAACAAATCAACTGTTCGTTTTTTGTCTCATTCTCGAGTTGTTATTTCTTGCTATTTCAGGATGCAAGGTTATAGGGAATACTACCTTTTAAGGTTGTTTCAAAACTACAAAATAAAAATTTATTCATTTAGAATTTGGCTGAAATGTACATTTTTAATATCCATGAAGAAAGTGCTGACTAGGCAAATTAACAGTGTAAATAAAATTACAGAGTAAACGTTTAAACTACTTGAGAAAATTATTTTCAAGCATCAACAACTGATGTGCTAAAAGCAAATAATAAAAATCCCTACTAGATTATGTTATTTAGGGCAAGGATATTGCCTTAATCACCTCTGATTTCTCCAGGAGACACTTAAGTATTTATTAAACTTTATTGTCTAATAAAAGAAATTCCTCTCAGGCTTCTCCTAGGCAATGCTTATTCTGTATAGAGTTCGTTATTGCACCCACTTGAAAACAATGAAATAAAAATTTAAGTATAAGGCAGGCCTGCAAAATTTAACTGTGCAAGGGGGAAAAACCCACATACTTGCACAACCTGTTGTTCTCGCAATTCCCCCAGTAATTTTTTGTACTTCCCTTAATTATCTGCATGCTACTTCTTGGAGGTAAATATGCCTTACTTCCACTATTAGACTATGATCTCTCTAAGGGCTGAGATCATGAGTGAGTGAACACTCTCAGAATACCTAGGCTGGTGCCTTGCACTTAGAAGGCATCTGATAACCACTAGAGTAAATATTTGTAAATATACCTTCTGTAAGGGTAAATCTAGTTATCAGAAAGAGCCTAAAGACATTCATTCTCAGGTCTAGGGAAAAATATGCCGTAAGTCCTTTTGCCCACCCCAAGTGAATACCATTGGGTGTTTTCTGTGTCATAGGCTGGTTCAAACAGCAATCCCCACCTCCCCAAGGAGTTCTGACACAATGGCTATACACAGAAAATACTCGATGTTTTCTGAAATCATTTTAGATTTTAGCCTTCCTAGATGGAAACATTTTCTTCCAACACTGGAAAGGAATAAAATTCAATTCATAAATACACAAGGTTTGAAGTATTTAAAACATTATTTTTATTCACATCTAGATTACAATTACAGACTTTTTCCTACATAATTTTTCTCTCTCTCTCAGATCAATCCGAATTACTAAAATTTCCCTTATTCTATTTTTCTAACTCTAAATTTGACATGACATTTTACTTTGCTTTATTGAAACTGCCAGCCTAAAACAGTGCTTTCCATGACCATTATTTTGTTGTGGGAACCTCATACAGTTAGTGGATTATCCACATCTTATTTTGCAAACTGTCAAGATAAGATGATTGGGTGATAGTGTTCTGTATATATATATCACTACTATGGTCATGTGCATAGGCAACAGGTGGACTGAAAATAAGAGGACAAATACAGCAACTCCATACCAGCTTCACAAAGAAGTCCCGTAAGTCTGGGCTACCTGCCTTCCAAGCACAGAGTAGTATCTGAATAGCGTCCTGTTGGGATTATTTGTAGTCCCTGTTCTGAGTTCCAAACTCTACATGGTTCTGATCCACCAGTATTTAAAAACACTCACTACTTGCCCTCTGATTTAACAAAATTCATTATAAGTATTCTTATAACTCAGGGAAACTAAGAATAGAATTAAGGAGTAAGTTAAAATAGAGAATAAAGGTGCCAATAAAAAAGAACAAATAGGAAGAAAAGTGGGAGGAAAAAGACACATCTAACTTCTAGATTAAAAACTCAAACATGACTGCTTTCCTGACTGTGCATCCTGAGTACCAAGAATTAGTTAAGACAAGAGACCAGTGATCAACCTTGGTCATTCCTGAAATACATTTTGAATTTACATCCCATAGGACTGTGTTAATGAAAACATTCTTGATTTTCCTTGATTTTTATAATGTATTTATTATCTTTATAATGTCCCTTTAGAAGGCAGCATGGCAGTGAGGTGTAGGGAAGTGTATAAAATATAATCTGTTTTAACTCCACAATGACATTTATCAATTCTTTTTGCTCTCTTTATACATCCTATATTTATGATACCATATTAACAAACTTGCTCTTATACAATTTAGACATTCAGAAAAGGTAGAATTTCTGTGGAAAGAAGAAAGCAGAACCTTATTGGAGAGGTTTCTTCCAATAGAGTAAATATACTGGAGTCCAGATTATTCTGGAGAATTCTGGGGAAAGGGACTTGGTGAAAAACCTCTTCCAAACATGGAAATTCTAAAGTTACATGGGAAAAAAACAAAAGGACCTGGACAGAAGAAAAGTGAAAATCAGAGCTCTCCATATTCTGCTCCTCCAGGGAGCTCTTGATCTCATTAATTTAAAAGGAAAAATTCTATTCTCCTCCTACTCTCAGAAGTTTCCTTTGTTTATTGCTGGGAAAAGATCAAATTAGTAGTGCATCTAATTTCATTTACAAAGTCACATACGTTCACATTTAGTTGGCATTGTCAGCTTAGTTTAAAAAAAACTGGACTGAGTCCTTATGAAGCAAATGACTCTGGGCAAAAAATGTGAAATGAAACTATCATTTTTCCTATAAATGTCACAAAGTTGGCATAGAGCTTAAATAAGCAAATGCCTATGAAAAATTTGAAAGCTATCAAATAGTACAAATGCAAGGAATTATTATTAATCATAATAAATAGCTTATTAATTAAGAAAACTTGAAGCCCCAATACCACAGAAAGCACATCTATTTGACACTGCAGTGCATCACACCTATTTCTTTTATTAGTATATCTTTCAAAGCATACTTCTTAGGGTAGGTCTCCTCAGCATATTCTGGCCTTAAGAGTAATGTTCTAAATAGCAAAGAAAAGTCATGTACATAGTTGATAATAGCCATGAGATCTAAATTTGAACACACTTCAAGAATTTTTGCTGTCTTCTTATATCAAAACTAACCCAGTCCTCTATTTCATCACCCCTAGTTTGCTTTAACTGGTTTAGTTCCCAAAGACTACCAAAGAAGGAAATACCTAGATCTAAGAAGGAATCGAATTGAATTGGGTGTCTAAAGCTCTACTGTTATTGCCAGTATGTACTACTCTTCAGTACTACTCTTTTCTTACCCTTTGTGCATATTAAAATATTCTCTAAGACCAAAGGGGCAGAAAAGAGATTAGGAAACATTTTTCATCAATGATCATAACACAGCAGAAGCACTTTACCTGACCTCCATCTAACAAACACACAGAATTAAAGTTCTCATTATTCCCTCTATCAAGCTTACTGACTCAAGGCCAGGCCACAATGAATCCCCATAGCTGACTGGCTATTTTCCTGAGTGCTGATGCTTAGGAATAGTCAGGTATGTTCATTTCCAAACCCCTTTATGCCACTGTAATGTTACTGTACTTTAAAAACTTAAAACAATATGTGAACTGATAAAATACAGTGAAAAGAGCTGCTGTTTCTATGAAAACTAAATGAATCCTTTATAAAAACCTGGTAAAGATGAGTTGCTTTTAAAAACTGTCATGAAGTAAGGTGTGGACAAGATACCTACATTAGACTAAAGAGAAGTTTTATGAAAATCTACAATTTTGCACTCCTTAATTGATTCAGAGGTGCCTAAGCTTTTACTTTAAAAAAATTTTTTTTAAATTTTACATGACCTTTTTTTGATGCAGTTTATGCCCACAAAAAGATGTTGCAGACTTCCAACTGGCACATACAAACTGAAAGAAAAGACTTTAGACCAAGTCAAAAGATTAAGGGGAAAATTAGTATTTATATATTTTTATTTAAGATTAAACATTGAAGGTATACTTATATTTATAATTTTCAATAATTCCCTGATTTAACCAATTTCAGTTAGCTGGTTTGTTTCAACAAGCATTTCATAACAGGGCATTAGGTCTAACAGTTAGAAAGGTCAAAAAAAAAAGTCACTCATGCAGTACAAAATTACTATACCTTTTCCTTTGAATCCATAGAGAAAAGATCAAAAGAAAGAGAAAAGCAAGAAATCAGTTTAAAAGTTCAAAGAAAAGACAGGTAAAATTTCAAGAGTGTAAGTGACGCACTTTAGTTATCTGTGGGAATGATACTAAATGTGATTAATTAATGTTTCTAGCACTTATTATTATATTCAAGTATTGGTTATGGAAGTAGAGAAAATGCATAATATCACAGTAAGTAAACCCAAGTACATTAGGTTTGATAGAAACAAAAATAATTTCAAAAATATAATCTATTAAAATATACTAACAATAAAAAAAATGGAAAACTAAGGGCCTTGGGATAGGGAGACATCTTTATTAAAACCTGAATTATTGATAGCCTGTATAGAGGTAAGAAACAAAATACATAATAAATATCATATGCCTTATAATTCCATAAGAATAAGCAACATACACCAACTTTAAGAAGCTTACAATAATTACTACTTTAATGACCCTGGCCTCTATTCCAAAGATTCTAATGGTACTTAAACAAGTACAGCTCTTCCTGCTGCATTTTTTCCTATGATCAACAATGATATTTAAATAAGATCAGATTGAACCCAGACTTCTAATTTAGACATTTCACAGTATTATTACTCTGCTATTTGTTCCTGGATTTTGAGCAAATTTTAACCCATTTGTTAAAACTCATTGTCCTAATATCTGCTTCCTATAAAATAATGAATAAAATTTATTAACTATGTGGTTAAAAACCCAAAGCATAGTCAGGACATTATGATTCTTTCTCAAAATGTTCCCTTTGGCATACTTTCTTTTCCATGAGACTGTAATGAAAAATTATTTCATCTTTCTACAAGAAAACTGCTGGGGTCTAAAATAATTAGGAAGCAGGCCCAAGAAAATTAAGGACAGTAGCAAAAGACTAAGTGATCTTCTCTGTTGGTTTTTATTTTTAAAGTATTCATTTAAATTTGTTGCAGTAAGCTCTACATGGGTTTGATTATAAGCAGGCACATATTCTTATAACCTTGTGGTGAGGTAGGGATGTTAAAGCAGACAGAGTTGAGGAAAAGTGAGTACTGGTAAGTGGGAACAAAAATCAACATGCATTCTTATTTTTGTTGACAAACATATGCATTATATTCTATCCGCATTCATCCTTTAGTTTCTATTCTTTCCTTCATATATCTTGGAATTCGTCTTCTTTTCTGTCAGGACAGAAGAGCTCAGAATGGTGAAGTTGCACTAATCTAGGATTGAGTGTTCCTTGATTCTGAACTTGGCTCTGTGCATGTCAGTTAACTTCTCTGGTTCTCAATCACCTGATATAAAAAAAGGGGACTGAACTAAAAGTCCGTTTAATATCTTTCCCCCTAATACTCTTCTAATACCCATTGTATCAACCTAATAACAATTTACGCCCTATCGAAAATAAGCATTCTTACACCTGATGAGAGAACAAGCTGGTAAAACTTTCTAGAAGAAAATCAGGTAATATACATCAGAAGTGTTTAAAATATTCAAACCCTGACCTAAACAATTATACTTTTAGGAATTTGTCCTAATGAAATAATCACATGCACAAAAATGTAGTTAAAAAGATATTCAGCACTATATTGTTTGTTTAGAAACAACCTAAATGTCTTATAGTAGGAATTGGTTAAGTAAATTATGGTGAATCTATTTAAAAGAATACTATTTAGCCATTAGAAATTATGTATGGGAGGTGGAGCCAAGATAGCGGCATGAGTAGAGCAGTGGAAATCTCCTCCCAAAACCACATATATTTATGAAAATATAACAAACACAACTCTTCCTAGAATAGAGACCAGAGGACACAGGACAACATCCAGACCACATCCACACCTGCGAGAACCCAGCACCTCGCGAAGGGGGTGAGATACAAGCCCCAGCCCGGCGGGACCCGAGCGCCCCTCCCCCCAGCTCCCGGCAGGAGGAGAGGAGTCAGAGCTGGGGAAGGAGAGGGAGCCCAGGACTGCTAAACACCCAGCCCCAGCCATCCCAACCAGAGCTCAGACACAGTGCATGCGTGGGGTCCTGGATACTAAGGACACAGGGCAGCAAGACCAGTGAGCAGGTCCCTGAGGCCAGCACCTGAGGACAAAGAAAAGCAAGCGGCTTTTTTCTTTTTTCTTTTTTAATTATTTATTTAATTTTGTTTTGTTTTCTTTTGTTTTGTTTTGGCGAGTGCTTTTTGGAAGTCTTAAAGGGACAGGGCGGGACACTTAGTCCAGAGGCAGGGAATCTGGGGATCTCTGGGCACTCTAACCCCCTGGGCAGCAGGGAGCAAGGAGGCCCCTCATGGAGATAAATAGCCTCCCGCCGTTCCCCCTCCAACGCGGCTCAACCATATGGGAGCAGCGGCCCGAGGCAGGTCACACCCACAGCAACAGCAGAGATAAGCTCCACAGCAGCCGGGCAAGGATCAGAAGCCCTTTCTGCACGCAGCTGCCCAGCACATGCCACTAGAGGTCGCTATTCTCCCAGGAGAGGAAGGCCACAAACAAACTAGAAGGGAATTTCTTCCAGCTGTCACTCATGCCAGCTCTGCAAACTATCTCTATCACCATGAAAAGGCAAAATTACAGGCAGACAAAGATCACAGAGACAACACCAGAGAAGGAGACAGACCTAACCAGTCTTCCTGAAAAAGAATTCAAAATAAAAATCATGAACATGCTGACGGAGATGCAGAAAAAAATGCAAGAGCAATGGGATGAGATGCAGAGAAAAATGCAAGAGCAGTGGGATGAG